TGGACGGATTACAGTCAAGGACGAACTTTTAGGTATAGTAAAGAGAACTAAGTGTAATTGCAAGATATTCGTCAAGTCGCCGTCTGCAAGCATGGACTAACTGTAAAAAAAAAGAAACGGCTATGCAGAGTGGCATTGCAGTTACGGTTTTGGTGTGCAGTGTGCAACTATACCATGCGCATGATAGACAACGAAAATAAATTTGATTTTAGTGTCTTGGCCATTTTTAAGATTTTTGAAATAATTTTTTTTCTAGGTAGGCGTACAAATTGCCAAATTCCTTAATAAATCAAAGAGAACAGCTATGTACAATGCTCAACATTTATACAAATAGCGTCTCACGACTGATTTTATTGCCTTTAGTGCAACTGCACAGTAAACACCAATTCCAAACAACATCAACTTGCACATTTAACTTGGTGTTGGATGTGCACATTGTAACTAACTCTTCATATAGAATTAAATTCAAATGTATTCAGTTTAGGTATGTAATTTAACCTTTAATTTGTTAGGCTACGTTGGTACCTACGAATTCCAAGTTCGAGCTGTCAAAGGGGAAAACCATGCTTCTACTGACGTTACTATGCGTATTCTACCAGCCTATAGATGTGTGCCGGCATTTATAGGAGATAGAAATCTTGAATTTTTAATTAATGAGGTGAGAAGAACTTCCAAGACGTTTTCATGGACTTTGACATTTATTTGTGTAATTTAGAATATGCCTCCTGGAACAAAAATGGGTACAACTTCAGCAGTAAAATTAAATGATAAATGCGAGTTGAAGTATTTGCTGTGGGATCCAATGTCGCACAAATACACAAATGAAACAAAGATTGCTTCAATTGACACGATTACTGGTGAAATTCGAAGCCGAATTTCGTTTGATTATGAGAAACAGGCAATGTACCCGGTAAGAGAAAATCATGCGAAGCTTCTTAAAATATTGAATTCGTATCAAACAAGACTATAATGAATAATCCTCAAAAACGACCCGACCTAACAGGGCAAATATTTGAAGCGCCTATTACTTATGAGTTAGAGGCAATAGGCGACAAATGTCGATGAACGCTTGCTAATTTTGTGACGTTTTCATTTCTTTTTCACCGTTTCTTTTTTGAGAGGATTCTTCCGTGATTCTGACTGGGGCAAAAAACACTGCAGAAATTCGGCAAGAAGTCTTACATTATTACGAAGTTTTCGGCCTATCCAGTCACAAGTTGGGAATCCCACATTTTTACTGCAATTAAATTTGAGGATTATAGGAAGAGTACTTTGAAACTCTACTGTCCTTAAGTTTACCGCTTGTCCTGAAAAATATTTTTTTGTTTTATTTCAATTTTATTTGTGTTTGTCCATTTATCACTTATCATTATTATTTACATATATTCGCAACCCTACGGAAATTTCTTCAAAAATTATTTTCTTTTTCTGATGTTTCTACTATTTATTATAGCTGGTACTTGGTCTCCAAGCTGGTGCGCATCAGTTCGCTCAAATGTCTAGTACAATACGGATTAAGGATGTTGATGATCATCCTCTTGACGCCGTGCTGAGCAGGGTTACGGTTGAAGTAAGTTTCTTGTAGTATAGAATATTGAGTAACTCAAACTTTGAAAATGCCATCAAAAGTCAAAAAAATAGAAAATTTCAAGAAAAAATCGGGAAGTTTTTATTATTGCTATTAATCTGCCTATGTTATCTAGAAGAAAAGACTTTCGTTACTTCTTCATTTGAGGTTCCTGAGGATGCTGCAGTAGGAACGATTATAGCTACCATGCGAGCCATAGAT